TTTGGAAACGCATTTATTTTGCTTTATTCAGTTTTAGTCAGTTGTTTAGAGCACAGCTAAGTTAAAAGTTACTTAGAGTAGTACTAACTACTGTTGACAGCAATTGCCATAATTATAAGTCGATGTCCTGCGAAGTATTGATACATCATAAAATATTGCCAGGAAAAAAACTTAATGTTGTTTTCTTTATTATGATTATATTTTATTGAATTATAAATTATAATAAAAAACACAAACTTTGTTTGTAGTTAATTTAGCGCGAAATCTAGGGCTTTTTTAAAGCGCTGTTTTCATGAAATCTAGCGCTTTTTGTGTTGTCCTAGCGCTGAATGAGTTTTTTTGATCTGGCAGCACTGCCAAAAAACCCTCTATTAAGAAGTAACTTTCCCTTCAGTTTTAAGCGCGTTCAGTTCCCAGTTACAGTCAGCGTGTGTTATGCGATGACCGTAAATAAAGTGCAAGGTCAAAATTTACGCGTTGTAAGAGTAGACCTCAGTATGGACTGTTTTGCACATGGCCAACTCTATGTTGCTTTTTCCCGCGTTAGTAGCCCCCGTAACCTTTTTGTGTACACCCCGTCTAAGCCTACGTCTAACGTCGTTTACACAGAAGCTGTATCATAAACTACTTAGAACTTTGATGATAATGATTTATTTGTTACCACTTATTGATACAGTAATGATATAAATCGTTTAATATTCTCTTACCTAAACGACAAATTCTTTATGTAAAATCTATATACGCGAGCTACGCCGCGGGCACAGCTAGTTAATATAATAAGTTTTTACAATATTAAACGGATGATTAAAATAGTATCTGTATGTTAGTAATTTAGCCGTTGGACCTGCAATGTGTTACATTTACAACCTATTCGATTCATTTTTGTGTCTGGCCGGAGAAAGAAAGGCTAGTTTTTACAGAACGGCAAAATCTATGAATCAATAACTTCGAAATTCTTAATTACTTCGAATCAAATTATAACCGGCGTGGAAACTTACTTCACACATTTTGATACTCGTATTGTAAACAACCATGTTACATAACATTTGTACAACCTAATCTTTATAAACCTTTATTTTATATTTAACTATGTACTTATTATGAAATAAAAAGTATAGTAGTTTTTAGTTCCGTGTACGTAAACAGTGTTAGTCAAAAATAATTATTTCTCTGAAAATAGCAAACTTTCCATTTAAAATTTTGCTCAGTATATAATTTGGTATCGAATCTTTCATAACCATCCCTATAACAATTGACAATTGTTTACTTCGCAAATAGACAAGTAGGAAAAATATACCAGATGTTACATCAAAGTTAGTACAGTAATCTTAAAGAAGAAAACTGAAGAATTTTCGGGATAATAAAGCTGTGACTAGCGATTCGTCCCAGCTTCGCCTGGGTAGGATGTATTAATTTGGCGTTATCTATATTAAAGATTTTTACAATAAAATATGTCCAACTATTTCGGATAAAATACAGCTTAAATCAAAAAATGATTCTTTTTTTATTTGAAAGCTGGTACTCATATAAATTTGATTAAGGTCTGACCAGCACTTTTTGAGTTACCCTTAATAATGCGTATTAAATTGACGTCAACTACATTGACGATGTTCTCATTTTATTTATATTGAAGTCGGTTGTACAAATTTTTTAATTTCACCACTTGTATAATACAAAATAATGACAAGTGAAATCGAGCTACGTAATTAATACCGATTTAAACTTCATTATTTATCACCTTATCTGGTCATGACCTAACCTAACCTACCTTATATTAATATAGCTCGGTTAATTTTTTTTTTCAATAGTTTTATTCATATTGCCTACTCATATTGCACTCTAATCACTTGGTGCATAACATATACATGTTTCGGCTTGCTTCCGTCATCGTTGCTGGATTTTTCGGGAAAAGCTCTAGACACTGAGTCGTAACACGTAAGGGTGGGAGCGGGCTCGGCAGGCGAGATCGATCGTGGCGCCAGACCTACCCACCGTCTGCTCTATGTATAGAGGAATTTTCAAATGCGCGCAACAGCCTTACATGGTTTATGTCAATTTAATGCGGATCCAACTGCGGATGGTTGACCGGCACAATGCGCTTTATAATTACGTGGCATTTGATAAACACTTTCGTGACTAAAAATATTCTTGCTATTCAAGATTTATAGGATCATTCTAGTTAAAGTTTTGTGACTGCAACAATAAAAGAACGTTATCTGAGTATATGCATTTATGCTTCAGTAAAACAAACACGACTAATTACTAGAACAAACTTAAGATAACTTATCAAAGTAACTACAGTGATGACACTGTGACGGCCTGCTCTTATCTATTGTAAGTAGGTACATGGTATCATAACTGGGCGAACAATTTCCCAACCTTGTGTTGCAATTCTACACTCCACACGCGCAGGTAAAAGTTGCAGTGGGGGTCGCCAGGTGAGTCATAGGGAATTTTGTTCACCCTCTACATCGGCTAGGGGTGCTTTCGTAACCACATAACTTAGTCATGTGATGGTCATTACTATGAACACAACGTAATGTTCATTGAATTGTTAAATTTATTATAAACTATTTTCTATATGAAAAAAATCGCATGGTATATCACAAACTACCACATGCCATATTCTTTTAACTTCCAGCTACACAGTTTTACAATTTCTCATCTTTTAGTTTCCCCTCCTGTCTACCTCAACAGTCAAAAGTGCTCTAGCCACATGATCTGTGGTTTTTCAACTACTTCAATAAAGGAGGAGGTTCTCAATACGACTGGTATAAATAGAATATATATAATAGAAATAAAATAATAGGTGATTTTGATGATTCTTTTTAAAATGAAACTTAGTGCTTCTCATGTGGTCCCATATAAAATTGATCAAGATCTGACCAGTAGTTTTTGAGTTATCCTTAATAATGCGTATTTAATTGACTTCGACTACATTGACGATGTTCTCATTTTATTTATATTGAAGTCGGTTGTACAAAATTTTTAATTTACCATTTTTTGGAAATACTTTGCAAGATCACTCAGGGTTATTATTATCCATATATTCCCCTTAATCTATGTCCCGTCGTCCCGTATATGCATGCCAGTTACCTCCCAATGTTGTGATCGGGAGCAAGGTTCGGTTTCCATGGACGCTGTTGTTGTACAGTGTGCAAGTCGAGGGCTACGTCAGCGCGCAGGTGGGCTGATGTCACCGGGCCGTCGGTGCTATATTTAATTTGCCACTCGTCAGCGTATACACGACGTTCATATAGTACGCTTTGTCACATTGTTTGCCCAGCATTCTCTGGGACACGCATAGTTCATGCTATAGAAAACAGGTTGACACTTTGCTCCTCCACCTGACCTAAAAAGAGGTCACAACTTTTGTAGGTATTACATTATTTATGGTTAATGAATCTTTATTTTCTCAGAATAAATTCATAATTTCACTTGGTGAAAAATAAAAAATTAAATAAAATTTATTTTTATTATCTTTTTTAATATATAAAAGTTAATCTTTGTTTGTTCGTATTTTATGCTCTGCCATGCCATTGCGGTAAAACTTTGTCAACATATTGCTTGCACTTGGGGGCGCAGTACAATTTAAATAACAGTAGGTGGCGCGCGTATCGTGCCGACAAATTTATTTGAAAGTTATAATATTCACGCATCACGCAAAAACCTGGGACGTGTGAACCGATTTGGGACTTTCACTGGCAGCTAGCTGATGTTATAAGGAGCAACTTAGGCTATTATTATAAGTATACCTATTACTTATTTTAGGAAAATAATTAGGGTTCCGCGCTAAAAAATTAAAACCCATTCATTAAAGAAATTGCGGGGAACAGCTAGTTAAATAAACATAGATCACTGATTTCAAACCTATGAGGCGGGTTACAGGAGAGGCCTGTGTTCAGCTGTCGACTTTTGATAGGCTGGAATTAATGAACAGGTGTACTGTTTGCCCGTTAGTCACAAATCTATAAAGAAACAAAGCCGAGATCGTTATCTATTGTAGCTTTCTTTAGTTGTGACAAATTAGCTTTCACAGTGGTTAGTGTCTTCAACATCTTATCCTATTTACCTACTCTATCTAAATTACTAAAATACCAAATTGACAATGACGAACAAATGGTCAAATACTCGACGCTACTCAGTTTCAATTGTCACAGTCACTTTGACATAAAGTGATAGAGAGAGCACGACACTTAACGCCATCTTAAAATTGAACGGTATTTGAGTATGTCGGTATAAGAAACGCATTATAATCATGGTTTAAATGAGGCGAATGAATACTTTTTAGTATTGACCTTGTGTCGTGATTTCGAGGCAATAATTATCATTCAAGGTCCCTCGGTACTTAGCCAGGAGTCTCGCTGACTCACCGCGTGTTTACGCGGCCGTGTTTACTGCTACCACGTTGTCCTTATGATCTCACATCTAGGGACGGTGTTTCAACGTAATTGCAAGCCTTCTGTAGCTTTGTGTGACTCATAGTCGGCGCCTCGTCGCATAATTATGTAAAATACGGCGCAGTAGACATTGAGCCCTTAAAGTCAATACAGATATGAATGCACCAAGTTTCCTCTTAATATGTAGTTAAAAACATATATTTTGTGTTAAGTACAAGGAATCAAATCCAGTGCGACAAACTAATAAAATCCAACTAATGTAAGTTGCCTATAATATTTGTTACATGTTCTATGTCAACTGGTAATTCTATATGAGTGTACTCTAGTATGGTGGTGGCTTAGAGCTTTTATGGGTGGTGGTAACAAACTGTGCTTTATATTAACGCAACGCTATGGCCCACTAACAGCATCTTTGTCATCTATATCTCAATGTACCTAACTAATGTGGCGCTAATGTCACTGCGGTCCGGAGTCACGCTCGTGGGGTCGCTGGCTCGCTGGTGATTGCGACATGGGGAGAGGGAGGGGGGGGGGGGCTAGCGGCGCATGCGCGAAGAACGCAGTGCGGGACGGTCGGAGCGCGGGGCTGCGCCGCGGCCCAGTATTGACGCGATAGTCGGGCGCGGTGCGTGTATGTCTGCCGCCTACAGCCGTGTATTACGTAAAGTGTCACCATGCCGGACTCCGGGCCCTCGCTGTGCAGCGTCCTCGACCCCCGTGAGTGTCCCGGGCCGGCTTCGCTTGGCCCGCTTGACCCTCTGTCGCGACTAACCCGCTAACACGCAGCCTTCTCTTACAGATGCTTGGTTCGACCCGCAGAGGCTGCACCCAGAAGGTGAGTGGTGGTGGAGTGGAGGGTGGGCGGCGATCGATGGCGCGCCTCGGTGCGGGCTACGCGCACGCACGCGCCATCTCGCTCCCGCCGCCTGCAAACCTTGACATCTTGTCGCTTCTTGTGCCACTAACCCAACTCGTTTCCTCACACTCTTCACTAACAACATTTACTACGATCACTCGTGATATTCGATTGCCATTCAACCGTAATTTTAACGTAAATAACTAGTAGCATTTGCCAGAACAACGTATTACTGGAAATAGGCATTCCATCTTAGCCCTAGAGGGTGGCATTTTGATTACTGATTGAAGATACGTGTAGATGTCTATGAGCCACATAATTCACTTACTATCATGTGGACTGTGTGCTCGTTCGTCGTCCATATTCTATAAATAAATTTAAAAAAAAACCATCAATTATATCCCCAGAAATACGCGAACGGGAATGAAGACATCGATTTGTAATTTTCCGTTTACAATTATTGCATTTCTTTGTCGCCGTAGCTACTGTTAATGTACGAGTGAATATTTTGCTCCTCGGCGGCGGGTAGCGCAGGTCGGCTCTGCCAAGCTGGATTTAGATCTATTGAAGCGGGCAGCCGCGACACGCGCCGCCTTTCATCTCGCACGCACCACCGACTTGTCTACTGTAAGACGCACCTATCACCCGTTGTCTGTCGTTGCCAAAACTGCGTTGCGTTGCACTTACAGGTAACCTAGATGATTAGACATGCGTGTCACTTAAGTATTCTAAAGTGACTATTCTAAATTTTCCAACTTTAGTATTCTATATATTGTTAAATCAATTAAATGTGTCAAAGTTCATTTTTAAACACTTAAAGACAGTTTCTACTGGAAACGAGGAATTCCATCTTATTCCTGAGGGGTGACAACGCTACTGTAATTTGATTCTTAATCGAGGTATGTAGATGTCTATGGGCCACAGCATCCACTTACCATGAGGTGGACTGTGTGCTGGTTTGGCACTTTTATTCTATAAAAAAAACCTTTTGGAAATCCTGCTTTTTAATCCAATTATTACATTAATTCACATGATTCGTCCTTGCGAGTGCTTAGTATCTGTACTCTCTAATGTAATTAGGCATCAGCGCAGTCAACAGTTCAACAAAGCAGCTCGGAGCTCGGACCCGTCATCACGGCTCACTAATTGTATAGAAGGCTGCATTGTTTTCCTGCTTCGAAAGTAATTCGATATACCTAGATTGTTTTAATTCTTATATATATCAGAAATAAGGCACACAATCGTGTAGCTGCAGACTGCGGTACTGTGACTTTTTACTTGACGCAACACTAACTTCATTGTGTTCCTTTGACTTGTAACTTTAGATTCGAGGACGTTACGGCTCAAGTTTCTCGAAAAAACGTGTCGACTGTCAATATCATTAAAAAGTACTTAGATAATTAAAATGAGTTGAATGAAAAATGGCATTCGTTTAAAGTGTTATCTAAAGATGAGAAAAAGTAACATGCTAAGAAGATCCACGATTTTGTAACCAATGTTCCACAAATACATTTATTGTTGAACATAGGTTACAAAATATCTTATTCCATATTACACTACATATTAGTATTACTATCCTAGTCCTAGTCCTGTCCTGAATTTGACGTACAATACAATATTTAAAAACAACTATTTAGACAATTAATGTGTCGTTCAAATAATCAATAATGGAAAATAAAACTAAATTGTACTATAACGTTAGGATCGAGCTGACAACAGTTTTATCTACTGGCACAGAATAAATAACAGAACAAGCGTACTCATCGTAACCGGCTACTACAGAGTACAGACCATGAACATCTATTACTTCAGGTAAATAAGGCTATATATAGGTACGTTTTCATCTCTAAGGTTTATAAAGATGTAGGTATATAAGGAAGTCTCACAGTCTTAAATTGTACTTGCTTTGCTCTGATTGCTCTTCAAGAAGGAACTCTGCAGTGGTCGCACTGGTGGAAGAGTAGGAAAGAGGGAGTCCTCCCATCTAGTAATAAGCTTCCAAATCTAATAATCGTAGTAATTTACTTGTCACCGCGCTTAATATAATAATTAATAATATGAAATTGCCGTAAAATAGAAAAAATAAATAGTAAGCCCACGTTGCATAGCTTAGTGACAGTGGTTGGTGGGACGCGAGGCCGGCGCTCGATGAGTTGCTTCCGTGACGTCCAGATCACTGTGTCTAGACTAGATTATTTAAAGTATTAAATGAAACTAATTTCCTTCAGTAGCCGGGCTAACTATCACATCGGGACGTCAAACACCCCATTCCTCCAGTGACCATGAGTGCTGTAACACACCCGGAATGTCGGGGATCAAAAAGTTAAAATTAAACGTGATAAAATTTGTAAAATTAATTTCATTTAGTGTATAATATTAGCTTAAATATAAAAAATCATTATTTAAAGTAATTCATTACATCTTCAGCGGAGATGATTCCCCTCTATTATGTTTCTTAGACCCCAGCACCCAAGGGGCCATTCATTAATTACGTAAGGAAGATTTTGGCTATTTTGCCCCCCCCCCCCCAACCCCATCTAAGGTTACATAAGGTTTCTTGACCCCCCCCCCCCTCTTCTTAGGTAAGATTCTATCTTGTTTTTCAGAATAATAAAGTGTTGTTAGAAAAGGATCCGTTAAAACCAACATTCACAGTTTGACGTAAATCAAAGATTTTTATTAACAGATAATCTAGATTATACCATTTTATTGCTATCAGTTATAGATTACCATTATATTATTATTAGACAATAACATCATTGTAAATGGAAACTACGCGACATTTTTGAAATTGTGAAATAATGTTAGTTTGAGTAATATAATATGCTATTGTGACCGGAATTATTATTGAATAAAAAAATTTATCCTTCGATGCTATTGTTGCTTGAAAATAAAAGAATCTTTTTTATATAAGATTAATACGCGGTTAAATTGTAGGTACTATAATTATTACTTGTTAAAATTTGTAAAATGTAAATCGAAGTGTACATTATAGAATGAAGAATGAAGAAAACGAACTTATGTAATTACTGAATGGCCACTAAGTGCTCGCCTTGTTAATTTTACTGTACATGCGGACAATCCGAGATCTAAAAAATTTTGCAATTTTAAGTGTTGATTCACTGATTGCTCGGTGATAAAGGAAAACTTAGAAATTTCGAGAACACGTGAAATCCGCCAGCGCACACTCGTTTTCTTTATAGAATAAGAGTCACAATCGAGCACACAGTCCTGCTGATCGTGTATGGATACTGTGGTCTATAGACATCTACATAAATCCTCGATACAGAATCAAAATGCAGATGCGTTATCACCTCTGAGCCCTGAGGACTAACAGTGAATGCCTCGTTTCCAGTTAAAAGGGTTTCCGATTATCTACAGTGTAGAGTCCACGCTCACCATACGAAACACAGCAGCATTAAGCTGCTATTTTAAGCTGGTATTCAGTGAGAGCGTGGTCCTACACCGGTCGAGCCGACCCATTTGGACTACAAATATTATAATATAGCTGCAATTGTGGCTCTACCACGTATAAATCTTTTTGGTTCGGGCAATTGGGCCGAATGCCCAAGACACCCTCGAAAATAAGAACAGGCTCGTGCCTTGTTAGGTGTATGTAGTCGTTTGATTTTTTTATCTTATTTCAGTACTTCTTTTAAGATCATATTTGCACAAAATTAAAGAGTAGTTTAGGAACAAATTAATTTCATTGTAATATTCAAAAATATATTTTGTACGTACACGTAAATAAAGTCCGAGTAGATTTCATAGGTACATAGTTTCTTTCTATAGTTCGAGTTCGTGTTGATATTTTATCAGTAACCTCACTACTGGCTAGACTGATAAATATTTTTTACACAAGATACAATAATACGTCTGAAAAATTTAAAACTCCATAATTACTGATTCACATTTCTCTTTTGTCCAACAATTTTGTTAAAAATTGTTTTCTAACAACGAGCTTTAATTAAACCAAAGTAACGAATAAAACTAATTTTGCGGATTTCATCGCTTTTAGTTTAACTTGTTTTTTTTTTAATTGTTACGTTTCGGGTGCTTTGCAGCACCTATGGTTGCAGGAAGACTTGAGTTAGTGAGGTGTTTGACGTCCTGATGTCAAAGTAAACACGAGTTACAAGTTGTGATACATCTGTGAGATTGTTCCTTAAACTTGGATGCATCACATGTTAAACTCGCTTACATACTCAACAACAAGTCCAAAAGCTAAAACAGTAACTGTCTAAAAAAACATTAAGTACTGAAAAGAAAAATGAACTAAGACGATTGTAACTACACCCCATCTGTTAAGATCCATCAAGGCATTTAATATACAGAGCGTGCCAAGGAAATAGACATACAGGCATACACTCGAAAGACATCTTCCTTCTAGGGCGGTCGGGTAATAACATCAATGATCTACTACACTTTCCGAAAACAAAAATTCAACACAAACCATTACAACAGAAATATACAGAGTTAACTATTTGACAAGGACAATTACACAACAAAAAATTTGAAATTTAAATACAAACATTTGAAGTTAAACTTTAGGCGAGCGAGCATTTAGTATGCTACTAAAGTGAGGTATTACAGACAACGAAGTGGAGTTATAATATATAATTCTTAGATCATATAGGTAAAATTATATTTTTCATCAAAACCTACTATTTTATGTTTTTATCTTATAGGCTTTAGGATCAAATTTTAAAGCAGCTCGCCTGCAGGCAAATCCCACCCCTAACTATTAACAGAGGTCATAATGTTTATTTTTGGATATTTCCGTTCGTAAGGACAGGACATTGTTTACTTCATATTAGTAGTACACACGATTCTCGTACAATTGCGCAATCGACTCGAGTTACTGCGTCTCATGTAGCGAATAAAATATCCAAATTTACTTTTTCATAATATGTTAGTAATATGCTCGTAGATAGGAAATGTTACGTGTACAGACTCAAAAGAACTGTAATTATTACTGATTAGTAGTGTCTAACCGGACTTTATTTTTGACAGTATAAAAATTCTTTTGCTGTGCATCTCGGTTATGTTTTCGTTTGGTACAATAAGAAAATCAGTATATAATAATATACGTAAATAGCCGTTCCCCGCGACTGCGTCCGCCTGTAATTTAGGGTTTTAATTTTTCGCGCGGAACCCTAATTCTTTTCTAAAATAAGAGTAGCCTAAATTACTCTTTATAACATCAGCTACCTGCCAGTGAAAGTCCCGTCAAAATCAGTCCAGCCATTTTGAAGAACAAACAGACAGACAGACAAAATTTAAAAAATTGTGTTTCTGTTGTTATACCATAATATATACGTTCATATGCACTTAGTAAAAAGCTGTTATTTTGACATTACAAACAGACACTTCAATTTTATTTACTTGTATATTGGCTATCTTGAAATAAAGATATTCTAGATTATATGGAGCTTAACAAATTAATACACTTTTCTATAACTTAGAAAAATTGACTGACTTGTATGTCACGTTGACAGAAAAATGTATACTGAGAAATATATTATGTTATTTAAATTGTTGATTATATCACTCATTTATCTGCCTATATCTAAATAGAAATCAAGATTACAGTTACTGAGGAATAAGTTTCACAGACTTGAGTCTTAAAGATTAAAGTCCTATTCAATTCATGAAGACATGACTACGATAATCACTAATCGAGTTAGCCGTATGCCTGATTGCCCGCTCTTATATATAAAAAACCTCTATTCTATGTAGCAATGTCTTTATTTATTGGAACGTGTGAAGTTATGTTTGTTTATCGTTATCAATGTGTCTACCTCGTTGCCCGTATCGGAGATAGTAAAATATATTTCGTAAAAACTGAATGATAGATTGTTACTAAGTATTGTTTCACGCACATTGAGAATGTTAAACACAGTCCATTTTATTGTAAAATGTAGTTTAAAAAAGTCTCAGGTTCAAACTAGTCTGTTTTAATAAACTCTAAGAAAAAAATATGTGTTCTAAAATGTAAGGTATGGAATTTGAAAATTGGCGCCGCTGCTAAGTTATAATTATAAGACTTACGGGCTCATGACGAAGTTTTTTTTTATTATAGAATAAGTGTGACAAACGAGCACACAGTCCACCTGATACTAAGTGAATTCTGTTGCCCATAGACATCTACATCTAACCTGAGTTAAGAATCAAAATGCAGAAGCGTTGTCGCCCCTCAAAACTGAGATGGAATGCCTCGTTTCCAGTAAAAAGGGTCTCCAGTTTTCTACACTCGTCATACAAATCACAACGGTATTAAGCTGCTATTTTACGCTGGTATTCCGTGAGAGCGTGGTCTTTTCCCGGTCGAGCCGAGTCATTTGTGTTACAACCATTATATAGCTGCAGCGTGACTACCACTACCACCAATAAAAGTTGCTACATTTCGATTTTAGACAGAAAGTTTATATTCAGTGTACATAACGGTAATTTCCTATAATAGTCATCTATATCTATCCTCGATTAAGAATGAAACTGCAGATGCGCTGCCACATCCGAAGACCAGCGTGAAATATTTTGTTACCAATTAAAAATGTCTCCAGTTGTCGTCACTCGCCATACGAAACACACCAGCATTACACTGTTATTTACGTCGATGTTATATGCGAGCGTTTCTTTCCCCGCTCGAGTCTACTTTCATGCTGCTGCCATAATACGTTAGTTTCCACTACCACGTGTGGAGATATCATGTCAGGAATTTTGGGCTCTTCGTTTTTTTTAACAAAGTTCAGGTGTTTGCGTGGGAGGGGTGAAATCTGCTAGGTGGATTGATCACGAAAGCGCACAAAAAC